ATTTTCAAAGTTAACGCAAGTAAACTTTAACACACAATTATCTCAGCATTGTCATATAATATACAGGCCTGTCAATAAACCTGTTCTTTTTAGCTGAACTTCTTGCACTGTTCTCTTTTTTCTTCAGTATGGGGAGAAAAAGAGAAACGATGAACTGTGTATAAGAAGTTCAGCTGAAAAGTATAGACTTAATATCTCTGGAAGAAATTAAATTAAATTAAATTAAATATTTCATTTAGACATATTAGACTGAAATTAAATTAAACATGACAAATATTGGTTCACGAAATAAATAACACATAGGATATTTATTTATCAACAAACACAGTGTGTATAATTAGCACGTAATTAGATATACTCCATGTTTTGATATTTTTTTGTTTAGGCTGAGCCTTAGTTATTGAATATCTACAGAGAACGGGGCGGCTGTCTCGCAGGAGATACGTATGCGCGCGTGTATACCTTCTTGTCGATGGTGACTTCGAATAGCTCGTTGTCCTGGAGCGGCTCGGCGCTGAACACCAGGCCAAAATCGTACTCGGAAAAATTGCGCGTGGCGGTGCTGCTGTTGTTGCTGAGAGTGATACGGTAGCCGCATCGCCGATGGAACATGTCGAACGCAGGTCAACCCGTACGTTGTCCGTCGCGCCGCGTCGTGCTTTGCGATGCGGTGCAGTGCGGTCGGTCGGGTCGGTCGACACCAGTGGACACCAGTCGACACACCAGAAGGCGCGCCACGCTGCGCTGCGCCGCGCCGCGACGCATCACATCGCTGCCCTTTGCCCTCCAACTCCGACTCCAACGCCGTGGTGCCGGGTCCTTCTTCGGGTTTTTTATTTTGCGGGGCAAAGAAAAGCGGGAAAAGCGCAGACAGAAATTTTGTTCTTCTGCATTCCCTGTATTTAGATTGAAATAACCGTCACTGGAGATATTGTCGCTGTTTATCCTTTTAAATTTCAGCTTTCTCGGTTCAAACTTCTCCACTTATATTCCTTCCCTTCAAAAAATATTTTGCTTTTATTACATTTTATGTGTGGAAAATGTAATGCAAATTTTTTTAGTAATATCAATATTTTTCTGTTGAGCTTAGTACAAAATGTTCGAAAAAAACACGCCGTACAATTTTCAATTATTTGGAGCATGATGATTGTTCTGATTTGGAGCCGAATGGAACGAATGATTTTTGAACCCATTTCGTTATTGAACCGCCATCTAGAAGTTCATTAGAAAAGTATCTACGTTGTAAAACAGTCGATAATAGTTCCGACGTATGATAATTATTAAATTGGTGAATTTTTGATCGCAACGTTAATAATTTTATTTATTTATTATATGTATAATAATCTATTATATAAGAGTGTATCATAAAGTTCAAGTTTACATTTATATGGATTGCTTATATTATTTTTATACGAATATTTTTATGTAATATAAACAATGTAAATTATTATTAATTGAATACAATAGAGAAAAAAGTAATTTTTTAAGATATATTATATTCCTAATAATTGACAATATGGATTAAAATGGATTGAAATTTTTATGTATATTTTAAGTCCATTAATATTAAATCTAATTCCCGGTAAAATTTTTCATACATGAACATGTATAAATATGTACAATATAAACATACATAAATATTCCTAACATATAATCATATACGAAACGTGTCAATACCCGTTCATACCCTCTTTCTTTTGTAAAATTATACTTTTTAGTATAATAGAAATAATAATAGTAATGTGAAAACATTAAAAATAATTGAAGGAATAATTTTCCCATTGTTTGGTTCAGAAAAAAACAAGTTTGGAAAAATGTAAAAAAAATGTTCATACACAATCATGCATAATTTTATATATATATAATTATACATATAAGTAATATTTTACATTTATTCGAACTTGATTTTTTTCTAAAACAAATAGTATGTGAAAACCCTTAATTATTTTTAATGTTTTCACATTATTATTATTATTTCTATTACACTAAAAAGTAATTTTACAAAAGAAAGAGGGATGTATGAACATGTATGGACATATTTCATATTTCGTATATGATTATAAATGTTTATGAATATGTATGTATGTTTATACATATTATACATAATTACGCATGTAAAATTTTTTATCGAATAAAAAAGAACGTGTTTTATTTAATGGGATTTAATTGGATTCAACCAGATTGAAAAATTATATTTTCTATTCAGAATTTTGAATTGAGCAGTATTCACGATGCACAAAAAAGCTGACATTATTTTTAAATTTTTAGAAAGGCATATAAATATATATGTGTGCTTCATACAATTTTAATAAAAGAATAAAAGTGCATTCGGATGAAAAAGGATTTATTCTTACGTTTGCGCGAATGAGTATTTCTGAAAATCTGAATCGATTTCAATATCCATTCTCAATACCCATTTACTGGAATTGTCAAAGGTATTCTATGATTTTTTGAAGTATCTTATATATCTCGATTTACGATATCTTTAAGGCATTATTTTAAGCGTAAGAAGTGATGAAATAAGACTCTGCAATATTAAAAATAAATAAAGAAAAGAGTACACTGGCATTATTTAAAAACGTCTTAAAATATCACACACACAGATATTTCAACATATCTTCAAAATATGATATTTTGAATCAGTTACAATTAGATATGTTCAAAGTGAAGCTAATATTCATAATGATTCGGAAAAATACTAATTAACAAGGGACTAATTAACAAGGGAAAAATACAAGAGGAAAAATACAAGAAAATAACGTAATTATCAAGATTTATTTGCATAATTTCCATATCAATTAGTTTATTACGTAAAATAGATAAAGATCAATTTTGTTGTGAACAAAGTTAAATTAGTTTCTCTCTCATGGTGACACTAAATTATTGAATTAATTATTAAATTATTGAATTAGAACAAAAGTTTGTAGTACTGTGAACTTCAAGCAGCTGTAATTTCGTTAAAAATTACGAGATTTAAATTTATACAAAGGATTTAAGAGGTTAGACCACCCCTGAGGCTCTAAAATAATAATACCTATGTTTGGGAATTTTTTTTGTAAATAAATAACTGTGACCAAAACTGTTTGGAGGACTTTAGTGCATATATATAATAAACTAAAAAAATATTTTTTTATTAGCCTTATGTCTAAAATGGCGGCACATTGACCCACTCGCTGAATCCTTTTTTTCTACAGCTTCAAATCGGTGTACAAGATTTCAGGCACACGATTTGACTCTGAACAAAATACAAAGAATTTTCATCATCTACATATCTCAAAAACTAGAGAAATACGTAGGAATTTTTAAAAATATTGATTTTTCTCAAAAAAAATTTATTTAAAATTATTCAAAAAATGCTGTTTTGAGAAAAATGCGTTTAAAGTTTTTCAAGAGGATTTTTTGTAATAATCGACAGCTCTAACATGATAGAGGTGCAATTTCACTACAAAACTGTTTCCATCGCATTTCTATAATTAAAAGCTAACGATTTAAAAAAAAAACAAATTCGGTTTTTTCAAACTTCAGGGGTGGTCTAACCCCTTAATGTTTAAAATTACTACTTTTGAAATGTCATTTTGTCTTCTGAATTTCTGTGAGTTTGATATAAGAAAACTATTTAGGAAAATTTTTTTCGTACTTTGTGGGCTTGTTACGTGAAATTTGCAAAAATTTTCAACTTTCTAAAATGAAAGCTTAAAATTTTACCTACAAAATTGTTTTTTAAAAATGTTCTTAAGATTTTTTTCTATTGAGTTATTGCGCATTAAATAAGAAGAGCATTTTGACTTTGATTACTCACAACTGTTAAAAATTATCGCGTGTGTATTGCATCTCAGATTCTCAGATCTAAAACTTTACTATATTATCATAATACAATTATTATATTATTATAAAATTATCATTTATTGTATCAAAATTTTTCATTTTTTATTATCATTTATTGTATTATCGTTTACCAATTTAATACATTTATTTTTATTATTACAATGTTATCATTATATTATTATTACATTATCATGATATTATCATTATATTATCGTTATATGTATTATCATTGTTTTATTATCACATTATTTCTTTGTCTGGTTGCTTTTGTTTTTGATAAAACTAACATATCCTATGGTGTACTCATTATCTGTTATTGACTATCGCATTCTGTTTCTTATCTTTGCAGTTAATCTATTCTTCTTTGGTTCTTTTTAGCACGTCAGCAAATCAATTCTGACTAACATCGATGTGCGATAATAGATGTCGAGAAGCAATAGTTTAAAAAAAAAATTATTGCATGGATCAAAGTCTGCTCATAATCTGTTGATCTGTTGCCGATTATTACCCTTTTTCTCCATCTCTAAACCAGTTTCGATGATTAAGAGGACCGAATATTAATTCAGCGATGAAGTTGTCGCAAAAGAATTATTTCTGCAAAAAATATCTCTCATTATTACTGCCATCTTCATTAACAAAAGTACCCAAATTAATAGATTTACGTTTATGTAGTAAAGGAAATTAAATGTGTGTGTGTCCTTCAAGAAAAAAGTGAATAAAAACTAATCTAATTATATAAACACGGTAATGAATTAAATTTATAATACCTTATTACTTATTACTATTATCTTTTTCTTCAATAATCAATCCATTAATTCTCACAAGTCATCTTTAAACACATTAAACGAGATGCAATAGAAAATTGACTGTGTGCGTGATCTCTGATAAAGTTTTATCGGTCAAGCTTGTTTTAGATTTTTTAGAATAAATAAATTTATCTAGTAGTTTCTATTCCACTAAAAATACCGGAGCAAAATGGCCGTTTAGGATAAGATGTTACTTAAAAAATGTGATCTAAACAATTAATAAACAAAAATAAATGTTCCAAGTAGCAAAGTGATGTCATTTTGTGTTATCGTTATTTTGATATTAAAATGAAGTCCTTGATCACACGTCAAAAAAACGACAAGTTTATTTACTAGGATGTGTCTTATATAGCCAATAGATACAAAATCGATGTTCATTTGAATAAATGCGCGGAAGATACGGACTCGGAATACCGACATGGACTTTGAGCGGTCAAAGATTGTCCCGTGGATGATACATAAGAGGTACTCTTCTTGGGTGGTGGTGGCTGTAGATAAGTGATGATTGTCCTGTCGGAAACGTTCCTCAGTGATCAGTTTGAGCACAGCGCGAGATCGAGAAAGGAGCAACGGGAAAATAAAAAAGAAGCAGATCGTGAAAATGTCTTTCACTATGTTATTGGATCCACCCGGGCCCGAAGCCAGGGCTTTGGCCGAAAAAGAACTCAGAGAAACTGAGGAGAACGTGAAAAAGGGCATTGAGACTCTAAGGAAATATATCGAAGGTTGGTGAATTATCATTTTTTACTATTTAATTCTAAGGTAAATAAAATTTATTCGAACATTTCAATTTAAATTTGAGCAACCATCATATTCCTTCGTTTTTTCTAAAATATTGTCAAAATGTTTAGCTTTTTTGATATACCTAAATGTACTTTGTATTTTTTTCTTAGAAGAAAAAACGCGCCTTTGTTACAAATTCGCTCTGTTGAGAATAAATACCAGAAAAATTAATTCTGCTATGAACACAAAGGGATTGCAAAATGTAATTGTCAAATTTGTTTGTTATTTATAGAAGATAAATATTTTTAAATTCTATTCATTGTGCGTTTGTTAATAAATTATATACAGTTCGTTACAAACTTTGTCGTAAAATGAAAGATTAACTCATCAAGAGTACAAATACGGTTGTTTAAGAATCGCAATAAATCGATTCTTACATAAAGATATTGAAATTCAAATTCGTCTTAACTGTGATATAATGGAAAAGATTATTACGTATTCTGAGAGTTATGAATAGATTGTTTAACTTTGCGCAATAAACAGCATACATTCCCATACAGTATACTTTTTCTAAGGAATATTCTGGGAACGTCTAAAGAATATAAAGATATTTTTTGGACGTAGTTTGTAATTTGTAAGCTGTATGAGATTATCCCGAAAATTTCAAAAATTGATGCAGTTCGTATCTCTGGAAAACTTTGCTTTCGTTTATCTACAAAAATTGATATTATCGCGTTATTATGCTTTTACTTTGGCTGCGTACAGTTTGGACGCTTACGCACTTTAAGCGCTTGATCGTCATTCTGTCTTTATTATTAAACATATAATAAAGAAAGAATCGCTGAAAGTACTGAAATCGTCTAAACCAAAGACAGCTTATACATATATCTGTGCTCGTTTCCATGTAGAGATTAACTTTAATCTTCATTCAACTTAAAAGCGTTCTACAGTGCGTAGTAAACATCCTATCATCTGTCGTAATATTTTGCAATAACCAATCAAAAGAGTCAATGGTAATTATTGATGCTTCTGATTGACTATTACGAAGCATTGCGATTGGCGACGGAGTGTTTGCAACATAGTGTGGAACGCCTTTTACTCTTCATCTTTTTCTAACTTTTAGAAGTGAAAAAAGATGAAGAATAAGTTGGAATTAATTTATGCTGATAGAAACAGTCATTAACTGTTGTTCGACGTGTAAACGTTGATCGAGTTTGTTCAAGTTTCTACTAAATAAGTAATAAATAGATAACTATTAAATTTAAAAAAGGCAGTAAACATTCGTCTTTAGCCGGTGAATAAAGAACTGGTCAAGCAAAGAGCCACTTGAAGTATTCTTTCACATGTAAACGAAACGAGTCATTCAGGGTTTTCTTAATGTTGCTATAAGAATATTATCGAGACTGTTTTGACGGCATATGGCCGTCTCTGAATAGATGTATTGAAAGATAATGTTAAGGTCAGAAATGTGACACTTCAGTAATCTTACTTCTTTTTATATTTTCTCGCTACAGAACGCTCAGCGGAGTCCGATTCATTTTCTTGAAGTTGAACTTTTTAAACCGCGTGACTATTAGAATTGGTACATTATTTTTACATCAAAACATAAAAACATTACGAAACACTTTATACGTACTTCGAGCTTAGATAGTCGCAAAACATTTCAAGTTTAATCATTTGGTATTCTAATTGAATGGAAAATAAAAAGTAATTATTAATTATTGAGATGCAGTTGCGCACTTGTGTTGTCACTAAATAAAAAATACACGAAAGTAATGCTGTTTAAATCGCAAAAAAAATTTATCTAAATATTCAAAAGCAAATATGTAATGAATGTGTATTACTTTTTTGTAACTTTATTTTTTTAGTTGTAGATTAATGTAAAACTGTTTTGAATAAACATTACATGTTACGAATAGACCATGCACCTATAGTAACAGACGTGCATAGAAGATACATGTTGAAAATATGTATTAGTATATTACATATACTATATCACAAATACGAATTGTGCAATTATATAATAAATATAAAATAAAAAGGGATAAAGAAATCTATTTGATAATGCGATTGATGCATGAGTCAAGTACACCTTGACTCTTGGACATGTGAAAGAATAGGCCTGTTCTTTTTGGCTGAATTTTTGCATCAGTTCATCTTTCTTCTTCTTCTTTCCTGAAGAGAAAAGAAAAAAAGATGAACTGATGCAAAAGTTTCAGCTAAAAAGAACAGGCTTAAGAGTAGTTGTACACGTGATATCGCGTCGTTCGAGTGCGGCTTTAAGGATCTTTCAAGTCGGTAGATATGATTCTTGAAGACCGCCTCAACATTTGATGCTTAAAAAAATATCTCGAGTTTACACGGAATTGCGTATCAGGTCGTTAAATTTGGAGTTGCACAATGTTTATTGCGCAATAAATTCGGCTGCCCACGATATGATTCGATTGCACGATAAGTTATAAGATATCACTAGATTTATTTGATAATTGAACAACATTTTGTATTCGCTATGCGACGTATTCGTAGTTTGTGAACGTTATTCCTAGGAAAAAAATTTGTTTATAAAAAATATATATACATAAATGTATGTAATTATACATATATTTATATATAAAATATGCACTGAGAGAAAATTGTTTGGTATTTATAACTACATATTATTACATATTATTACAATTATGATTGTTACTGCTATAATAATAATAATAACAGTAACTATGTATATAGTTTTAGCAATAAATGTATATAGTTGGCAAATTACCCAAGATGTCCGACCGACGACTAAAACCTCTTAAATGTTCAGGATCCATAAAATCAACCATAAAAAAGATGGTTATCCCAAAATATAACTATAAAATTATAGTCACTTGAATCGTTTTTATGGTAATTTCAACTATTTTATGGTTATAATAACTATAATTATAGTCATTTTAGATTTCCAACTATATACATAGTTACTGTTATTATTATTATAGCAGTAATAATTATAATTATAGTAATATATAATTATAGTTACAAATACAAAACATTTTTCTCTCAGTGAGTCCATATATATTTATCCGTTGTATAATTTCTGTTCGTATGCACAAAAGAATTAATAGATGATAAAAAGAAATAAAGAATAATTAGGTAGTCAAAAAGAGTGTTATATGTTTTACATGAGAAATATGTATTTTTCTGGCATCCCAAATGATTCATCTCATTACTCTATGCATAAAAGTATTAAGGTATGGTTATCAAAAGTAAAAAGTTTATAAGATATTTTTATTTTATGCCAAAATGTAAATGAATTAGAATAAAATACAAAATATCTCGTGAACTATTAATTTTTTGCTGTATTTTAATATATGCAGAATAACTAGAAGAGAATATTAGGTAAAAAAATCATATTGGTACAATTCTGTTGAAAAAAACCTTGAAACTTTCGAAACGTTTCTATTTATAAAAAAAATATATATATATATATTATGTAATAATCCCCTTGAAATCATGCAGCCTTTGTATAGAACAATTTTTTAAATAACGTTAATTTATAAGTTCTTTTAAATGCAAATTAGGTTCAACTTATAAAATAGAAAGTTGTATATAATGTAATTTTAATTCTTGTAAGGAAAAAGGAGTTATTTCTTATAATATTTTTAAATTATTATTCTTATTATTTTTTCTGTATGTATATGGACAGAGATTATATTTAAAAAAATAAAACATATATGGACATATTGTATGTATACATATATATTAAAATTATATCCATTTTTATGCAAAATTTTTTACTAGTTTACAAATTTTCGGTCATCCATCACCGGCATTACACATTTGTGTGCTTAAGCATCTGTTTAAACTTGAAATAGAGAATAAATGGCGGCCCTCACGTACAATTTCCCTAATAAGCAGCACTGAGGTAATTGCTTTAAAAATGGACATCGTGACCTCGCACGCAAAGTCGCCCCGAAGCGATCCAATGGCTTTTATACCATTGAAGCGTGAGGCGAGCAGAAATCGGCGAGAAGATGACGGCTAAAAATGCTAAAATTAATGGATTTTATATATTGACATCTAAGCCGTAGAAGGTACTATATCGAAAAAAACATGAAAAAACGTTTATGTCGGAATGTATGCGTAAAAAAATAATGAAGAGCGGTTTATTTCACGCGAGGCGTGAAGACCGATCTATGTCGGAATGTATGCGAAGTGTACGATTTATGTCGAGAAAAGCTTAAAGCACGGTTTAAGTCGTATAAAATGGGAGAAGAGTCTATATAGCGCAATGTTTACTACTCATAAATTACACAAATTTAATTACGGAAAATTAAATAATAGATGAATAAATGAGTCGGAGAAACAGGATTGAAAATCAAGGCAATTCCCGTTCTCAGTCATAAAATTTATGAAAAGAAAATATTGCACTATATAGACTCTTCTTTAATTTTATACAACTTGAACCGTTCTTTTTGCTTTTCTCGATATAAACTGTACTTCGTATGCGTTCTGACATAGACCGGTCTTCATACCTCACGCGAAATAAACTGTTCATTAATTAATTAATTTCTTGATATGAATTTTTATTCATGTTTTTCTCGATACAGTACACTGAGAAAAATGGTCTGGTTGGATTAAACAGTAATTTTGGTAGAAAATGGACGAATCAGAATTTTCTGGTTATGTCTATTAGAATTCTAGTTGAGATAACTAGAATTCTGATTAATATAATTATTATGGTAAAAATAAGAATTCTAGTAGATTTTACTAGAAATATAGTATCAACCAGAATTCCGGTTATCTCAACTAGAATTCTAATAAATTTAACCAGAAATTTCTGATCCGTCCATTTTCAACCAGAAATTTTTTTCAGTGTACTTTCTGCGGTTCAGATGTCGATATTGTTTGCAGACTTAATGATTAATACTTGCAAACCAGGCTTGTTTATTACTTTATTTTTAATCATTCATTCTCGTTCTCTCTCTCAAAAGTCCACGTACTGTAACTGTTGATTATGGTGACACACGATTGACTATGTACCTTGATCGAGAAGTATATTTTGATAACGTGACAGAACGATACAAAGTCCGACGATTCTGACAGATAAGAGAAATGATCAGCTAACGATGAATCATGAATCGTCATTGTGTTAGAAAGATGCGCACATTAATGTCCGGCTATTCATATCACCCACTTTGCACAAGGTTGTTGAATTGAATATTTGCAATGATATAAATATTATTGTATATATATAATATAAAATAGAATACAATAAAGTCACAATGTAATGTAATATAATATTATATTATATATTATGTATATATACAATGGTAAGAAATATTTGCAATATGATGCCGAGATTATAATTTTGAATGATTTATTCGGTAACAATTTAGTTCGTTAAATTAAAAAGTTAGCTAATTTTACGAGCAGAGTGACATCGATGTTTTTTATATCTTTACCACGTTTATATACCACCGATAATTGTTGTAGTTAATAAAATTATTACTTCTGTTTCAGAGGACAAAACGATTTATTTTTCTACCGACGATGATTTCCTTATGATCTTCCTTCGTCCTTGTAAGTTTTATCCCGAGAGTGCGTTTGAACTAATGAAACGAGTCGCAGACTTCAAGGTGAAGCACGCAGCCCTGTTGCATAATCTAATGCCGGAAGACGAAAAGATCGCTTTCGTTGAACACAATGTTGTTAATATTTTCAAACACAGAGATCACAAAAATCGTAGAATAATGTTAGTAAATTGCGGTAAAGTCTGGGATCCGTCAAAAGTCTCCAGCGATCAAATTTTTCGCATATTCTACTTGTTACATGAATTAGCCATGCAGGAACCAGAAACACAGGTATGAATAAAATGTTGTGATTACTAATTATGCCTCCTCTTACATATACACGCAGGAATTAATTAAATAATTAAATTATTTACAATTAGATTAGCTTTAGACACAAATGTAAATGTGTCACAATATTAATTGTAAAAAATATGAAAGAAATTTAGATTAAATTAGATATGTATTTCTTCTTTTGCATATACAAATCTTAGTATTATGAATCACTACTATACAAAAATGCATCAGTATTATGGATACTTATGCGTGTATATAATTACCAGGTTAAACGTGTCATAACTCACAATCAACAAAATTCCATAATTGCCTTGACTGTGCAAAAAAGAAACTTAAATTTTCGCAATTATTGCTAAAGGAGACAAAATTGTATACAGTATTGACGGCATTACAAAGTTAAATTTATATATGCTAATTAAATTTAGCTAGTAATAATAAATTATTTAAATTTTCACACAAAGTTAAGCATCATATTTAATTCGGACGTAAGCGTGAGGCGTAAATGCACTTTGCTCGATTGATAAGATTTAACAAATATGATTCCAATATCAATGTAAGACAAAAAGGAAAAAGACAGTGAAATAAACAAGTAAGAGAAAAAGAAAGAAAATATTAAGTTTTTCCTTGTCAAAATAAGATATATTAAAATTATTAAATAATGAACATTCTAAAATAATTGTTTAAATTATCTAATTACAAGGGTGTTTAATTAAATAAGAAAATTCTTATTTGGTCAAAGAGAATCTTAATGCTTACCTGAATATTTTTATATGATTTTATATACATATTTGACTCTGCAATCTGCAGAATGCTTATTTGCATCAAAATTATTAATTGACGAGCAGTTTAACAATTTTTATGCAAATAAGCATCGTTATAGTAATTAATAATTAGATAATTGATCAAAGATAAATGCTCTCTAGAGATAATCTGAATAAAAATCTTTCAATTAGAGCCGACACAGGATATTATGTGTAATAATCAATTTATTAATGAACAATAAAATTATATAATTACGATATCAGGTAAACGTTTCGACCCTATTATTTGGGTCCTCTTCAGTACCAAAAAAACACAAAAATTCTATAAATAAATGTGTTGAGTAACTATATAACAACAAGGTTGAAAGTTGCGAAGATTGTATCCATTATATATGCATGACAAGAATTTGGTAGAATTGCTATGAAACGGAAAGCAAAATGTTAATAATAGAAGAAGACAATTTCATAAATTATTATATATAAAAGATAAAAACAATTTGATGAGAACATGTCATCGAATGAGTAAAAAATTGCGAGACTTACATGTCATGAATAAGGAAATGGGCTGACGTACATTTCAGAGATGCATCCCGTCATTAATTGAAAAATCACTACACAAATAATGAAATATAAAAATTTAAGAACGAATTAATGATTAAATTATGCGTAAACGATGAGAGCTTACATGACGATAGATTTGACGCGAATTTAACCGCCAGAAGTCACAGTTAGTAATGAGAGAAATTTCAGAACAAAGTCAAACAGACGAGATACATTTCGTAAATACGCCAACTCAACACATTTATTTATAGAATTTTTGTGTTTTTTTGGTACTGAAGAGGACCCAAATAATAGGGTCGAAACGTTTACCTGATGTCATAATTATATAATTTTATTTTTCATTAATAAATTGATTATTACACATAACATCCTATGTCGGCTCTAATAGGCGTTGAAAGATTTATAATAATTAGATGTTAATGAGAATATTAAATCTGCAAATATTTTTTTATAAGTATATTTATTTCTTATTCTTAGATATTTGGTAGTGTTGTGATAATGGATTTCGATGGGCTCTCCATGAAACAAATCACGGGAATGCCACCATCTTTCAGCGTGAAACTGCTTAGTTTTATTCAGGACGCGATGCCACTACGTTTAAAGGAGGTAAATATTAATGCAATAGCAGATAAATAAAATTACACAAAATTACTTTGCGAAAAGAAGAAGTTATCTATTTTTACATTGTTACACACGAATAATTAGTGTCGACTCACATTTGCATTTCCTCATTATATTTATATTGAGTCTATTTTTACATTTTGCAATATGCAGATTAAGTATTGATAACAATGATAACAATAAATACTATGTAAGGTAATCTGCCCATACAATGGTCTATCCAAACTTTATGATTTTTATTTAATTTTTTGCTGAATCTAAGATTAAAAACTGATGCGCGTGCTCTGATTGGCTCTCGCGACACGCGCGCCATGCGTCATCGGCATGACTGAATAGCGCATCGCCGGGTAAGATTTCCGCTACGAATTTTGTGATTTTAATAAAAGATTGTAGGTAGATAATGTAAGAACGAAATTGATTTAGTGCAAAATACAAAGATTATATAATACCAAAAATATTCGTGAAAATAACACAGAATTATGTTTTGAAGAGGGGCCGGACGTAACAATATTTAAAATATTTACATGAATGCTATAAATATTTTAAGAAAAAGTAGCATTTATAGATCATATTGAATACACACGTATTCAATACAATAATGATCTATAAATACTACTTTTCCTTAAAATCTTTATTTAGTATATATTTTCTTCCTTTAGTGAACAAATTGGAGAAATAGAAAATAAAGTAACCTAATATATTACTTTCATAAAATTATGGAAAAAGTTATGGTTTATTAACATATCGACGTGTTTATAATTGACATATAAGAATTACCTATACACAAAGAATTATTTTCCAAATAATTGATATTAATATTTACTTATTTATTTATCTACTTATTTATTTATTTCCAATATTTAGCAAGTGAAATATAATCCTTGGTTTGGAATAACAAAAGCATTAAAAAACTTTAAAAGCGACGTGTGTCCTTAGTATGTCAGTTGGCCATATTGGTTTTATCTTATAAAGACTTATCTCTCTTTGGTTTATAAATAAAACGTGACAAAAATATAAATTAAATATAGTATTATAAAATATAAATACGGAACTGTATTAATATGAATTACGAAAATTAATAACTATTTCCTGGTAACTATAGAAAGCAATTACTCAGATATATCTACAAAATATTACATCATGACTACGACGTTTCGCATTTTGCTTTATTAACAATAACAGAATAAACAAATTGAGCAATAAACTGGTGCAATTGGGTCAGACAGACAGCCTGTATGACTTACTAATATTATCTGTTAAATTCACCTTTATAATTACACACGAATAGCGAGTAGGGCATATTGGGTATTAGGTCATAGAATCCGGTTATCTTACTTGCTCGTTTTATTTGTGACTTATGTGATAGTAGCAACCATTTTACATTTTCATAAATCAATATTATTATCTAAATATTATATTTATATTCGTAAATTCTTCTTTTATATTAGATCAATAGTAGTATATATTTCTAATTATATAATTATACACATTCTAATTACATTTGATATTTATTTAGGTTCACTTTGTAAAACAACCGTTCCTGTTTAAAATGGTGTGGCAAATGTTCAAACCTTTTGTTCGGGAGAAATTGAGGAATCGCATGTTCTTTCATGGTTCCAAGATGTCTTCCTTCCACGCTCACATCCCACCGAGTCATTTACCGAAAAACTACGATGGTGAAATGCCAGAAATAGATTATACAGGTGCCGATTGGTATCCATCAGTGCTGTCTCACGAAGATAAGATTAAAGGTATGAAATAAATTAATAAAAGAAAAATATACATAAATAAATATATATATATGTGGTATATTATATGTATATATAGTACATATAGTATATTGTGTGATAATTGCATAAACTTCTGCAGCTTTAAACTTTTATATCTTTTGTTTTATGCATAAAATTAATTTCATATCGAGACATGATATATGTCTCGATTATATAAATAATTATACAAATGTAGTTGATTTAAAAAAATATCTCGGATTATGTAGATACGTATCAGTCCTAGAAATTATCTAAAGAACAAAATTTTACTAAATAAAAATAAGTAATAGTTTAATTAATATGTTTCATTGAAAGAAATCTGATGATATCAAATTTGATCATAAATGTGGTTCAAGATTAAACCATTTCTTTAAACTATCTATTAGAAAAATTTTTATAAATTAATTTTAATACATATTAAACTTTAGTAAATTGCAATTTTGATATTTTCATAGATTAAGTTTATTATGCATAAAACGAGAATCATAAAAGTTAAAACTGCAACACATCCACACACACACATACGTAATTGATATCTATCTGTTAATAAATAAAAATATTGATATCTATCTGTTTATTTTACAGAGTGGAACACTTATGGATACGTAAAGAATAAATAAGCTGAACTTTCATCAGAGATTGTCATAGATGTTATTAAATATATTTTTTTACAATTCAAGCAAATTCTGGATTTATGGACAATTTAATATATTGTGTGTATAATATTTCAAAAGTACAATACAAGTACACATTTTTTTACATATGAGTAATTCTTTTTTAGAAAAAGAATTATTTTGTATTTGTGAATATGTATATACAAATCTGTTAATAACAAAAAATTGATAAACAAAGAATATAAGAGCGCAGAAATTGTTATAATATCGCATTTTTAATAAAAATTAATTTATAATTCAATTTAAACTTGAAACTTTGAAAATTGTGTTAGCGGATGTGAGTTACTAAAGTATGTTTTATATGCATCAGACGTTGTTATGCAATGTATTATATTATGTGTAATATATGTAATACTATAGTTACAGAGTACATCCGCATTATGTTGTAATATTTGTATTATTATTATTATTATTAATATTGGTATTTGTAAAAAAAAAAATGAGAGAATTTTATTACCAAGTTATCAAATAACGTTATGTATTACAAATGGTATATTTATTTTAAAATATTACACAAATTCTTGTTTGTTGCTTTAACTGCAAATTTATTTTCATTCTAATTTTATTATGACTAAACTGCAAATACTTTATAAATTTTGTGTATAGAGCTTTTATATCCCTATATGTGTATTAGGGCTTACTATTACACGTTTAAACGAAAACACGTTTACACGTATAATTAGTATACCCGTTTATTAGAAACGTTTTTCCGAATATACGACATGTGTTTTAAGTAGGGCTCGCTATTATACGTTTAAACGAAAATACATTTACACGTATATTTAGCACATCCATCTATGAAAACCGTTTTTTCGAACATTTTTACGTTATTATAATAAACGTTTATCTCTTTATTATATTTATTATATATATATGGAGTCATCTTATAGTGTGATGGATTGAAAAAATCGAAAACTTTTTTTGAATGTAAAAAAGACGTTTGAGTGTAAAAACGGAAAAAATATGTACATGAAATAACATTAAAACGGTGTACATAAAATATGTACATAAAATAACATTAAAACGGTGTATTCGGACAAATGTTTCTAATAAACTAATATGCTAATTCTACGAGTAAATCTTTATGTTGGCTTGTGTACAACGACTTTAAAGTGCATTTTAAAATGTTAAACTATAAGAAAATGCAAAAAATAAAATTTTAATTTTATAAAAAAAATGTTAAAATATTTGACAAGACAGTTTTTATAGAAGGATGTGCTAAATATACATATATACATGTAATATTCTCGTTTAAATATATAATACTAGGCCCTTGCTTAAAACACGTATATTCGGAAAAACGTTTCTAATAAAAAGATATGCTAATTATACATGTAAACGTTTACTTATAAGTAAACTTTTTTCTGAAAGTGAATATAAACGGATAAACGTTTCACGTTTACACGTATCTTTGAAAAACAGAATAAAATCAGAGCTTTAATGTGTATGAAAGCTGATAAGTAAATATTACTACTTTTATTCTTTCTGAATAATTTTTAACCCTTTCCTTTGAAAATTATTAAAAAGCAGCAAAAATATTTTTCATTTTTGTACACATACATGACAATTATTATGCATGAAAATTATTCTTATATTAAATAAACACAAATTTGAGTGAATCTTTTGGGACATGTGAAATGTCTTCCATTAAACACAAATTTTTCAACATACAGTGTACAATTGAGTGAGTTTACTTATATGTTACAGTCATCTATGTAACACTCTAAGAAATTAATTTCGTAATTTATTGCAGATATGAAAATATCAAGGCTATATTAATATTTTATTTTAGAAATTATAATACATATAATCATATAAAACCGGTCTTTTAATCGGTATGACATGGTACTGGTATGCCGCAAATGATTTCCATTGCAAGTGTACCGCAAAAATTTTAGAAGAGATAAAAAGAAACGAAAGGAATGAGAAATAAATAATAAAGCAGTTATATGTTTACATGGAGCTTGTTTTATTACCTCTAAGATCTTATCGTCTATCTATTCGTTTAATTCAAAGAATTTTTGTTTACGGACTTAATGTGACCACTTTAATTAATTTAATAATGACTTTAATTATTTTGATTATTTGATTCTTGGATTACAACAGATAAAAGATTTAATAATTAGGATCGTTTTATATTGTTAATATACACTGAAAAAAAATTCAAATTAAGGTCGAAACGTATACGATTTAAAATGTTTTGTATATACTAATTATTATTGAATTTATACTGCACTGTTAACAAGCTACGCTGGATGTCATGTGCAAATTAGTTACATATAAACAAATAAGTTAGTCAATAAATAAAATCATATATTTTGACTTTTAATGTGGTCATTCTTAATGTGATACAATTTAAAAATATAATAATTATTAATCGGACTAAACAACTTAAAACAAATTATATACGAGGTGTGATCAAAAAGTAAGGTGACTTTTTGAATTTCGCGTGCTCTGTACACTCTAATTTCAAAATTTTTGTTGTTGTGTTGGTACACTCGTCACGATCATATGTTCACAGTTTTGACTATATAGCATGTGTTGTTTTTATGTGAGAGGCATAAAGGTTAGACTCGTGTTTGCGTGCTCGGCGATTTTTTGCTGTTGAAAATAATGGAGCAGAGAGTTTGTATTAATTTTTGTGTAAAAAATGGTATTAAGTGTTCAAAAACTCTTGAAATGTTGACAGTGGCGTACGGTGAGTCAACTTTGAGCAAAAAAAATGTTTATAAATGGTATAAGTTATTCCAAGAGGGTCGAGAAAATGTTAATGATGAACCTCGCTCTGGACGCCCCAGCACGTCAAAAACCGACGAAAATGTTCAGAAAGTGAAAGAAATTGTGTTGAAAAATCGTCAAATCACGATTAGAGAAATAGCTGATGATCTTAAGAAAAATGTCTGGAAGTGTGGAAAGAAAATTCATGGATTATGCACCATGATAATGCACCTGCGCACACGTCGTTACTAGTGAGTAGTTTTTTTGGCCAAAAACAATACTGTCATCATGCCTCAGCCATCGTATTCACCAGACTTGGCCCCCTGCGACTTTTTCCTCTTTCCAAAATTGAAAAGGCCCATGAAAGGACGAAGATTTGCGACGATTGAGAAGATTAAGGCTGCATCGCTGGAGGAGCTCAAGGCAATACCCAAAAGTGCATTTCAGAAGTGTTTTGACGACTGGAAAAAGCGCTGGCACAAGTGCATTGTATCAGAGGGGGATTATTTTGAAGGGGATAACATAATTTTGGATGAATAAATGAATATTTTTTTATAAAAATGAAAAGTCACCTTACTTTTTGATCACACCTCGTACGTAAGTTACATATTATCTAGCCTACTTCTAATTTTTAAATTTATATTTTATTAATTTTATCAACTTGAAATTTTATTGATAAAAGTGAGGTGTAAAGATATTTTGTATTTACTCTCATTTTAATCAAAGCGATATCGTTATTGCGATAACATAATTTTTGAAATAATAAAATAAAAAGTAAATCTTTAGAATTTTTTATTATTTAATTTAGAATATATCAGATAAAAGACCTATGCATTTATTTGATGATGTACGTAGGTCGTCTGAAAAGTTTTGAGCCAACATAAAATGGCATTACTCGTCAAAATCATTTGGTTTCATGTTAAGGCTCAAAACTTTTCAAACGACTCTCGTACTTCGTATTGCCAAACTTAGCTTGATATTTAATGTGCCGCGAATTAAAAAAGGTTAAAAAATATTGAACTATGAGAATAAAAAAATTAATACACAAATATATACAACCATAAAGGTTTACTCTAAAAGTAATCCCTACTTTAAAAGTAATTCCTTTGGTGGGAGGATTCCGTCAGCCTATACTCTCGATGCACACGTCACTCATATCGGCCGGTACCTAGTAATTTTTCACTGCTTTACTAATTAGAATGTTTTATATTAAATTGGTTAATTAATTAATTAGCGATGTGCGCAATCGGAGCTCTTTCCCCTTTAACATTGTGTAACATTAAATTACAAAAATCTGGAAACCGTGCATAATATGAAACTTATAGCGAATTCGGTTGAATGTACTTAGTGCCTACTGATGCATGTTAAGCGGAAAGACTTCGTAATTCGCTATTAAACTTCTAGTGGGATTCAATTATTCATTATTTTCGTAAACAGCTATGTAATGCTCTAAAAATAATTGACGGTCTTCTGATTTGTCCTTACGCAAGTACTAATACAGAATAAGTCATAATAATATTATAAGGACATTATCATGATCTATATTTGTTACTTTTAAGTTCATTTTTAAGTAACAAATAACGTCATGATAACGTGATTATATCATTATAGCTTAATTATAATTCTGTGTTCTACTTTAGTATTTAATGTTATTATTTATGTAATGTTATTGAATATTCAACGGTATTATGAACTGTTTGAGATAGTACAGTAGACTATCATATAACGCATATTTAGACAACGCGGTTTCCAATAATGTTTGTGGCAACCCTCAATTACGTGGTAAATTACCTTCGTACTACATGGTTCTTTTTTAAATTGTGGCTTAGTCAGTTCATTGCTGTTGCAATAGCAATTATTTTGGATTTTTGCGATAAAATTATTTCTGCATGGAAGAAATAATTTTATTACATTAAAAATTTTAGTTAGACACAGATTCGAAAATAATCTTATTGGACTATTGAAATAATTATTATATCTATATATGATAGGTCGCAAGCATAATAAATGAGCAATAATGCAAAAGTTTTGTCATTTTAGTAACCAGTTTGATCATTCTAAATAATTATTTTGATGAGTCAACAAAATTATTTTCAGATTTCTACGTTTTTAAAGTCGCGTATACATCTAGCGAACGAACAGCGAACGCGAACATTCGGACATTCGCGTTTATGTTCGTAGTTCGTTCGTACATTTTTTCGATTGCATCGAACACGGGCCGAACATCCATTCGATCTTGATTCGGTGCTCGAGTCATTGTTCGCTATAACCTTATTGCTTGCGACAATTAATATTTTTATTTTATAACAGATATTTTGTAAATCACATAAT